CGCTAGCAGTGATACGAGCTTGGTCCGAGATCGCAGTTCAGTAGCAAAAACCCGTCCCGTCCCCTGACGATTCACAATCGCACTTCGTTCCCCCTTGTTCTTTTTTGTCGCGTTCGTTTCTTCGTGATTATCTTCCTGCCTCCATATCGCGGCTGCTTTTTATGCAATAGCGCGACAACGATAATATCATCGACTAATTGCGTTCTTTTATTTTTGCAGGGAAAAGGATCGTTAAGTACGATGGGATGGATCTGATAAGGGTGCGGTATCGTTTCCTTTGACATCTATGAGTTATTGAATGAAAAGAAAAATTATATAAGAAATATTATCTTTAGTAAATTACTTTTGAAAAGTATTTTCTACGATAAATATGAGATTATTGAATAAAAGATAGATTAATTATATTCTTTTATAGTTTTATTTAAATTATAATAGTGTAAAATTGAAGATTTGATAATATTTTATGACACATATATATATTAATGTGATATGTTTTGGAATTTTCTTCCAAAAATAATTGTCTTTATTTTATTATAATTATTATATTAATTTTATTAAATTTATTAATATTAATTTTATTAAATGATTAATCTTTCTTTTCTCTCTTCAAATTTTTACGTGAACAAGATTGTGATATGAGATTCTATAACAAATAAAAAAAATCAATTAAAATTAATTTTTAAATTTTCCATTACAAATTCTGTAGTTGAATTTTGATTTATATATCTCAATTATCTAACTATAATAAAGTATATATAATAAAGTTGTAATATATTATTTTTAATTTATATAATTTAAAAATTTCTTATTTTTGGAAATATGAAAATTTGAGAATGTTGGAAAACTATGTCAAACTGACATTAGCCAACGTACATCATTCGACAGCTGTCAAAGCCAGCAACGTTGGTCAACGCTTAATGCGAATCAACCATATGTTGTAGGATACTTTATTGGTACACGACGTAACCAAGCTCAAATGCCGGTTTCAATCATGTTCATTGCGGTTATTGATACTACCCCTCATCAACCGTTGCGATCCCGTATCGATTCTATAAATTAGCTGTCACAAACGCACAATAAATCTGAATAAATTGTAGGCAATATTGTACATCGTTAACACAATTAACGATAGCTCATCAAACAAAATCAACCAAAAACAGTCTACTATACGTAAAAAAATAAAATAAATAAAAATAAGGCTTATAAGAATAAATTGTCTCCAGTAGAATAAATAATATTCCAAGTATCATAGAGTAAAACAGCAATATCCAGTAGAATTGAAAATATATATAAAAAAAATTCTTTATAAAATACTACATATAAATAATTTGTAATAATTAATAGTAATTTGAATTTTTGTTAGATATTTCTCTAATCATAAATTAATATAAATTACTTACATCACATGATGATAACTGAAGACAGGCATTAATCGAACAAATGCGATTCGTATTGATCGCATACGTGAATTAAAGATGATCGTCCGATATTTCATTTAGCATATTTCTAAAACGTTACTCGATGATACTCGATGTTCCCGAAGTGTAAGAAAAATTCTCGCACGCGAATCATTTTGCGCGAAACATTATCGAATGGTACATTTTCGTTGTTTGATACTTCCAGGATTTTATTGAGCATTTCCGAGACTTTATTTGGCATTCGCGAGACTTTATTCGACGCTATCAATACTCATTTACATATAAGGGTTGCTTTGACGAATAAAATCCACGTAAAACACGGAGCGATTTTGTTACGTTTGTTAATCGACGCGATGCGAATATGAAACTAATGTAAGATGGCACTATAGACATATAATATATAGACCGCACGTTCCCATCACATACGTATAATATAATAATAATATAAATAATAATAATATATATATAATACATATATATGTATTCTACGTCTATGGATGGCACCAATGTAATACATTGCGATTTATGTACACAAAGCATGCATGTCGTTCAGACGATATGCTTCTCTAGTGCAATTATTATCACTTATATATCGATAAATTATAAATAAAACACACACCCGATGTCTCATTCACCATTTCTAAGACGTTACTTAACGCTATCTCGATACTCGGTTACAATATATAATAAATTTCTCCGCTGTATAAAATTGACGGAAGAGTGATTTCGTTCCACCAAATAATCGATACGAAATGCAAATAGCGATGCGAGACAGGAACTATAATCAATCACGCAACAAGAAGTACATGAACGATACAATTCTCCAATTGACATTACTTTCATCGATAACGATCACCTGATATTTCATATTTGTCGGGTGGCTCTTGGGCTCTCTCTCGCTCTCTCCCTCTCTCTCTCTCTCTATATATATACATATATATATATATGTATATATATATATATATATATATAAACTATCGTTATGTATAAACTATCATTAAAATTATTATAAATATATATATAATATATATTATAAATATATAAATATACTTATATGAAATAATGAAATTAGAGGCAATATTTCGAATAAAAGTGGCTTTTCCTCGGAATATTGTTTATTAGATTAACTGTACCAGAAGTTCTTCCTTTTTTTTTGCATGAATTTATGAATTTATTGCTCGATATTCAGATTTGCAAATTTTCGGCTCGATATATTTTTACTTTTATTAATGATATTTCAAAAGAATTAAAGATATCCTATAAAAATTACATGTATTTTCTGACATTATTCAATCGATTTCTTTTTTAGAAACTATTGTTAGCTCGGATATTTTAGTCGTCATTAATAAGACCGTTTACAGCCAAAAGCATCTACGTTAGTAGAGGATCTAAGCAGCACTTCCGGGAAACAACGGGGCGGCAACTCGGTAACGCGGAGCGACTTTGCAACAATACATTCGGTTTAATCGGGCAGAAAACCGCGTTTCGTGTAGGGACCCGCGTATATTCAACAATGAGCTTAAATGCACGCTCAGCTCGGCGTTTCTCTCTGTCTCACTTCGCCTAAATCAAGAGAGGAGACAGAGTCTGTTTAGTCCTTCAATACATGCTGTCAAAATAAATCCGATATAATTTAATCGAAAAAGTTAGAATAAAAAAAGTTCTCTTTTTTCGCCAAAATTTACGGTAAAAGTGAAAACTCTCTCATATATATAAGAATTTTTGTATAAACTGTCTACATTTCTTTAGTAAAAAATTTATACTGAAAATATTTAATTTTAATTTCGCTTAATTAATTCTTTTTTTAGAAAATCAAAAAAACAAGACTTCTGTTACATACATTTTGTAACAAGAAAATTCTATCTCTATTCTCTAATTGCGCGATAGGATCGTCAAATCAAAAAGAGCGAAGATTTTTTGCTCTGATTGGTCATATTCTATGTAAACCCAATTTTCAATGCGTATAGTCTATTCCGGATTGAGGGCCATTTAGACGAATTCTTGCATAATTGCATAATACATATTCATAGACGAATTGACCAATCACATGTTTAATATGAAGTATGAAGTGTTGCTATCTCCATATTAGATTACTCGTGATCGATTTTTCTATGCATATGCATTACCCGAGTTGTGTTACAAATGCCTCGAAGAAATTGATTGACCAATCAGAGCAAGGAAATCTTTGTCTCATTTCTTTTGATTGGTCAAAATCAAATCATTCGAAATATTTTTATTATTTTAACTAAAACTTACTTCATGTGACGTCACGATTTATATTTTTTTACGTCCGTGGTCCGAGTAACATTTCATCATACGTACACGCAGAAATGATGTCCAGGCATGTATGTGTAAATGGTCAACGTCATACGCACACACGCGAAGCGCGCACGTACGTGAGCTAAGAATGTATTCTTCATTTATATTCAAATTTCCTTTTTATATAATTTAATTATTTAGTGCACGCAGTTAAGCCGCATTTCTTAAAGAAAGAAAAGAAAAGTATACATATCGATACTAGAGAGCACGAGACACGATAAAGACAGCGCGATATATAGCTGTCTCGCTCGCACTCTTTTGTTCGAGCGTCGAGCGAGAGAGACGGCTATCGGATACCTCTAAGGCCGATATTACATTTGTCGTACGACAAATTTTATAAGCACATTGATTGACTGGGAGATAATAATTTTTTGAATCTTTAGAAACTTTCTATCTTGCAGTCAATCAATGTGCTTAAAAAATTTGTCGTACGACAAATCATCGTTATCGATGAAAGTAATGTCAATTGAAAAATTGTATCGTTCACGTACTTCTTGTTGCGTGATTGATTATAGTTCCTGTCTCGCATCGTTATTTGCATTTCGTATCGATTATTTGGTGGAACGAAATCACTCTTCCGTCAATTTTATACAGCGGAGAAATTTATTATATACTGTAACCGAGTATCGAGATAGCGTTAAGTAACGTTTCAGAAATGCTGAATGAGACATCGGGCGTATGTTTTATTTATAATTTATCGGTATATAAGTGATAATAATTGTATTAAAGAAGCATATCGTCCGTGAACGACATTCATGCTTTGTGTTCATAAATCGCAATGTATTACATTGTGCCATCCATAGACGTAGAAACATATATACGTATGTATTATATATATTATTATTATATATATTATTATTATATTATACGTCTATGGTGGAAACGCGCGGTCTATATATATATTATATATCTATGGTGCCATCTTACATTAATTTTATATATATTTGCATATTTTATATTTGCTCCATGATTTACGTGGATTTTACTCGTCAAAGCAATCCTTACATGCAAATGAGTATTGGTAGCGTCGAATAAAGTCACAAATAAAGTCTCGGGAATACTCAATAAATTTTCAAAAGTATCAAACAACGAAAATATTAGCCTAACTCGGTATTATATCCTATAATGCTTTCTCTCTCGTTTTTGCGCCGTGCGTGAAGGACGCAACATCGGAATGTTCCCCCACTATTCTACCCCTACTTTCTCTTTCGCTGCCGGGCCCGCGTCATGTTGGTGGGAGTGTGACGTCAGTGACGTAGTTGTCGCGCGTGTTATCATACGTACGTTACAAAGGTCGCGTCTTTTCGTAAGATTTTCTAACAATAAGTCGGTCAAGTCAAGTTATAATCTTTCAGTCCCGGGAGTGTCGCGCTCGCGAGTGAATTGCGGCAAGTGATTACGTGGAAAAGTGTCTCATTTCACGTCGTAAGAGCATGGAAACATGGCGTCACATTGCGTACATCGTGCTTGTCTATCGCCGGCGTGAGAATTATTCCGATATCTAATTTCCTATGAATATTTCTCGTCTCGTCGAAACCGCGAGTGTGAGTGAATTTCGACAGTGAAATTGATTTACGCAGGCGAAGTCACGCGATTAACTTCAACTCGTTGCGTCGCGAAAGAGACGACAATATGGCGCTTTTGCGACGACAATATCTGCGTCGCGCATAATGGCCAACGACGTCGCGTGAGTTTGCTTGAAATTTCCAGTTTTGTCGCGAGTGAGTGAATTTTGACAGATGGACGAGATTCACGCGGTTAGGTTAGGTTAGCGCTTTCGAATTCGGTGAAAAGTGCGTCGCAATAAATCGAAATGTGCGGTAACGAATGCGCGAAAATCGTCGTCGGACGATTATTCGGACCCGAGATATTTCGAATAATAAATGATCGCGCGCGGACAAATATTCGATCGTGTGAAACACCGCCTCGAAAATGAATATCGCGTCGCGGAGTGTCAAAATGCACAAAAACGGGGACGACTCGAACATTCGTTATAAATTTTCTGGTCTTGTTGGACATCGCCCTGAAATGAAAACGACGCCATGGACGTGAACGTCAAACACGATCGACGAGAGCGGGGCTCATACATCGTTTCGGCTCTCGGGTTGCAGTTGTGACAATGACGGTGAGTGTCAATTTAAAATAAAAATGATCAAATTTAATAGAGTATCGATGCTTTGTTTTATTCCATGTTAAACACGCGAGTGTCAGTATTATCTGCTATTTTATTGGTATAGTTCGATTATTATGGTAAGGGATTTTTTCGTGATATTTCAAACGAATGAGCGAAATTATCGATGTTCTATTAAATTTAAACAATTCTTTTATTTTTTCTATAATTCTGTGTATAATTGTTTTTCCGCAAATTGTAAAGTACGCAAAATTTAATTTAAAATATATTTAAAATATATATAAAATTTAAAATATATTTAAAAAATATGGAAATGTATGAAAAAATATATAAAAATGTGCATTACACGCAAGTGAATATTATCTGCTATTTTATTGGCATAGCTCGATTATTAAAATAAAAAATTTTTTTGGTAACATATCAAGCGAATGAGTGAAATTAACGATATCCTATTAAATTTAAACAATTCTTTTATTTTCTTTACAATTCTGTGTAATTGTATTGTTTTTGCGTAAATTGTAAAATGCACAGGAATTTGATATCAAAATATATTAAAAAATATGGAAATGTATGAAAAAATATATGAAAAGTACATGAAAGTACATAAAGGGAATATCGATGGTATTATAATTCGAGACAAATTATTAGTTTTACATATATATTATAAATATTATTAGTTTTACATATATTATAAATATTATATTATAATTTGGAATTTTTGAGATTTTAATACAGTTCGCGTAAAAAAAATCTCTAGAATTTAAACAAGTAAGCAAATATTTTTATTCTACACCTAGTAAAAAAAATTAATTTAAAATAAAATATTAAAGACATATTTTGAAAAGAGCGAACAACTTGAAACAACAATTGTTATTTTCAATAATTGATAGCATTAATAATTAATATTTCGCTTTAAAATATTTTCTATTATTAATTTAACTATGTTAATGTTTACTATGTTAATATTATAACTTACATCAGTGTTAGAGTGTTGCTAAGAAATTATTGATTTTAACAAAATATTTATTTATCAAAGTACAATACATGTAAAAATATACTAAAATATCGAAATATACACAGTAAAAAATTGTGCGCCCATCTATTAAAATTTTCTTGTGTTACCACGTTTTGATTAGTACTTTAATGTAAAATTAACATACAATTTATGTTATTATTTTTATAACGTTTTCATATGTTACATTCAACTGTCAACTTTATAACTTAACACTTTGTATATATCTCTTAGCAATGGAATATTATTTTGAGTATTGCTAACATAATCATTTTAAATAATTACCATGTCTCAAAGTCAGCTTAGCATTCTAAGAAAAGTTAAACTAAATCTTTAAATAATCTTGAACTTTGATATACAAAATAATCAAATTTACTAAAATTAAATGTTTCTATTACAAATAATTTAAATGAAAATAATTACTATTATATGTTAATGTCCTCAACATTTCTTATGAGTTATTGTAATTATTTTTTCATGTAATTTTTAATTAATTTGTATGTTATTTTTACATTACATTTAAAGTCACTATAACAGAAATAAATATAAAGTATTGTGTTAATTATTTAACATTTTTAATTTGTCAATTAGTAACATACGAATGAGTTATTTTAACTTAAAATTTAGAGTGGACTTTCTGGGACATGTGAAAAATGATAAAAATTAACATTTTATTTTTTACTGTGTATAAATATTAACGGATTATTACGGTTTATTATTTTATCATTTCGCGTCAATTTTCGAACTTAGAAGAGGATAACGACACGTATAATAGATGCAATCGTAATCGAGAGGGGAAAGCAAAATATCCTTACGTATCTTGCCGGATACTTTAAGCTCGTATACCGATCCGTCGACGAGTACGCGAGTGGTGCTTCATCCATATTCAGCGATCGCCGAGGAAACGGACGGAGAGAACGGATGCTACGGGGGGGAAGTTGGGTTCCGGAAGTGCACGGAGCAGACGAACGTTACACGCTCGCGATACGAAACACGCTCCTCAAAGCGCGTACGATCAATATTCCATTTTGCGACCCTTTTGGAATGCCATCTCTCTATGTGTCGCGTTTCTTTCTTATCTTTCTTTTATTCACCTTTGTACTTAAAGTCGAACAGAGTCTTCCGATTTCTTTCAATGCATATACGTCTCTACGTCGCGCCTTTTCAGCGGCATCTTTTCTGATGGCAAAAGTTATTTTTTTAATATCATGTAAATTGATTTTAGAAACCGTTCTTCTCATTATGATGAGTATAGTTTGTCAAATATCGATCGATATCTCACGCGGCAATTATACGCGAAATATTTTCTTCTTGGAAATATCAAAATAATGCTAACAATGTTTCTGAAATTTGTTGTTTACGTAATAGAATATTTAATAATATTCCGAAATAGCGATGTAAATTCTCGGGTCAGGATAACTCAGGATGAAAACAATTTTACACTCGAGATTGTTGCAATAAGAAAAATATAGAGCTGGTCGAGAATTTATGAACTATTATAGCTCAGATTTGTCTTTAGACAGAAATGGACATCGCAGACATCCTTGAAATGAATGCGATTTATTTTCCATTCCGATTTTCTTTCGGCGCAAGGTTTCCTCTACGTTTCTCGACATCTTTACAGTGCACATATTTTGCTTTAATTGCTGCTATTAATTCTCTTTATCATTACCGAAAATTTATCTCAGAATTATTCTTGAGATTGTAATAATAAGAGAAAGATATATATATATATATATATATATATATATATATATATATAAGATGATTCCGAGTCTAATTATATTCAACGTGAATTATGAAATTAAAACAAACAAATCTGTCACAAATATTTACATCTAAAGTATCTCTTTATTTTTATTCGCTGTGGTTATATTTATTTTAAATATACGGAAAAAATAATTTATTTATATTTATGTTCAAACAGCTTTATTTATACAAATGGATTTTAAATATTTATATAAAATTAAAACAATTTTTGTTGTATTTTTCTACTTTATGTATAATATTAAATTATCTCAATCTTCTGAAACCTTAGTTTTTAATAATTTCTGATTGCATAATTTGTTTCTTCAAATTCACGCGCTTTGAAAATTTGAATTTCAAATCCATTTGAAAGAGAATTATTAAAATATTTTTCGATAATATGGTACATATTTGACACATTTTGTACCAACGTACGAAGCCAGGGATAATACATGAATGAAAGAAAAATCTGCGACACGCACATAGGGAATAGGGGAAAGGAAGAGGAAAACTCTGTCGGAACCAATGGGATATAAATCGCGTCTGCTTTGAAGATGCTCGCGATATCTCAGGCGACTTTATTCGTTCTTACGCGACTTAGAGGTATCTTCGCCTTTTCGCATTCGTCGTTTGATCACTGAATATGGATGAGAAGCTTCGAATATGAAGAACTCGTATTTTAGCCGCCGGCAAAAAGCAAATAAGTTTCAGGCGCGAATAACACGCATGATTATATCGATATTCGCCTCGTTTTACGTTATCTCCTGAATAAGACGTAGATGGTGAAAGACATCTTTCACGATATCGAATATCGGAACATCTCGTTAGACGGATGTTCTTTTTGTAGCCGAGTATTGACGTATGTGTGCGCAACACACATAGAATAATTTCCATGTAATATTCAACAATTTTTACTTTTCCTCTAAATAAACATCAGCGTGATCGTGAGGAAAGATTTAAAAAGTCTTATTTTGCAGAATTTGCGGAAAACAGAAAAATATAGGAAATATATCAAAAAAATATTTAAATTTTTATATCCAAATTTAACAACACAACGCGAGATTGTACCGTGAAGCGTATGTACATGCATGTTCTCTCCAATATCAAAAGGGTCGTGCGCGCTATCATTATGCAGCACAGTTCGCATTATCTACATCGTGCTGCTTTAATGGCCTCCTCCTCTACTCCGGACGCATATTAGAGACGGGCGGATTGACCGGATTGAACATGACCGCACGAAAAGTTTGCTTCGAAGATGTGCAATCGCTTTAGCAGCGGAAGCGCTGAAATGGCAATCCCTATGCATCGCCCCGGGGAGGTTTCCGGGCCCGTTCTCCAAAACTCCGAATCGGAGTGGCGGTGCCACGAAAGCGATTGGACAGCGAAACTCCCCTGGTGAGCTTCGGCCCGGCGTATAACCGCGGATTAACCTCGTAATGCATCTCGTGCCTTAACTTTACATACTAACTCGTAATACAACGCGTGTAAACTCGCTCTGGTTGTCCAGTCAGCGCGCGCTCGCGTTTGCGAATTTACATAACACAGGTAAAGCCATGGCGCACGGACCAATGATACGCCCCAGCATCAGTTTCGCGAGAATAATATACCGATTTACGCTGCGCGTATCAATGGTGACCGACGCGTGTAAACTCATTTCGGCCGTCTGATTTCCACGCGGATAAAATCTATCGCACGCAAATTTATACAGGCCGTAAGCACGGTCAACTCTCGATCAATGGAATTCCGGCTTCGCGAGAATAAAATGTCAACTTACCTGCTAGACCACTTGTATCGATTGATATTGATACGCTTCAAGCTCTTGTTCTCTCGTATATTTCGTATACAATAGGCCTAATGCGTAATTATATTGGTCTGGGAATATTGCAATATGACCTCAAGATAAATAATATGGAAACGGTACGGTAGTAAGGGTATGTTTAGATGGAGCAAACTTCACCATGCTTGATTAGAACTAGTTATGTTATTTCAAATTAATATCTCGAATTAGGGAAATTCTGAAATTAAATATATGTATTATATATAAAATGAATCAGATTGTCTCTCTACAATATGATCAAGTGTGCTTTGCTTAACAATTAATATAGTAAATATATTTATTAAATATATTAATTAAATATATTAATTAAATATATTTATTAAATATATTAATTAAATATATTTATTAAATATATTTATTAAATATATTAATTAAATAGATGTATTATATATAAACTGA